TTTTCATTAGGTGGTGTTCCCTGCGGGATATTGTCCCGGCCAGGGCCACTATTTCTCATGTCCTGATCTTTCCTTCAGGAGGACCTGGGCGGTGGGCTGTCCCACATCTCTCTTCGCCGGCAGGTGGCGGCGCTGCCTTTGGTCTTGGGGGGTGGGGGATCTTCTCTTCTCTATCACGGTACACTGGTCAAGCGTTTTCTTTGGGGGGTCGCTATTTTCTGGCCTCCCCCTCTCCATAGGTTCCCTACAGGGGATCTGCCCCTGGTTCTCAGGGACTTGACGGGGCCTCCGTTCGAGCCTCTCCGGACTTTCATCTGAAATTCTTGTCCCTTAAGGTGGTCTTTCTGGTGGCGATTGCCTCATCCCGGCGGATTTCAGGGCTGGGTGCTCTTTCATCCAAGGATGACCTTGACGTTTTCACCAGGATAGGGTGGTCTTCGCCTTGCCCCTACTTTTATCCCATAGGTGAACTCCCCCCTTTTCATAGGGCGCGGGGAATCTCTCTGCCTGGGTCTGTCTAGTGATAGGGAGAGGCTCTGACTCCGTTTAGTCATTCATCGCGCTTTGCGCGTTTGTCTCCGACGGACGGCAGGAGTCTGCTGGTAGTAGGCTTTATTTGTCCCCATCCCACCTGGGGCGTTGGGGGCCGAGGTGTCTTCAGCTACCATTAGCCGTTGGCTGCGTCAGGCCAACGTGGGCCTAGGGGGCGGCAGGTCATCCTGTCCCGTCGGGAGTCTCATCTCAGCTCATTCCCCTTGGAGGGCCGTGTCCATGGCAGCATGGGCCTCTGGGGCTCTCTTTGAGGTCTTTGTTGAGCCACTACTTGGGCGGCTCCATCTCCCTTCATCAGTCTTTATAGTCTAAATGCGTTCACCTCGGCGGCTGCTTTCCTTGCTCAGAGGGTCCTGCAGAGGGTGGCAGCTGCTCCTTCTCTTGGGCCATAGCTGTTTGGGGGTTTTTTCCCTCCCTGGGACTAAGCTCTGGTATGTCCCACACGTGACCACTCCCTCTCTTCCACTGCAAAAAGAACGTTAGTCTTACCTGAACATGTCTTTTCAGGGGAAGAGAGAGAGTGGTCACGATCCACCCTGTTTAGGTTGTTGGGGCCAAGGGGAGGGCCGGGTGGTTCCCGGGTGGTTTTGTTGTTGGTTTTTTCGTTTCAGTTCTGTTGTTCGCCTTCAAGGAAACTGGGCAAGAGCGGAAGGCAGGAGTATTTAAGAAGTTTGTTCTCAGTCTTTGGACCAATCAGGCTTTGAGAATACCCACACGTGACCACTCCCTTTCTTTCCCTGAAAAGACACGTTCAGGTAAGACCAACGTTCTTTCTACAGAGAGAGTTGTGGTAGCATGTAGTCTGGAGTCCCAGGCTCTTTCTTGGAAGGCAAAGAGACACCAGAACTTGGAATATCTGGTAGGCAGGAAAAAGGCAAGGACAGACCTTCCCTTGCAATTCACAGAGGATATCTATAGTTATGCAGCTAATTGATTTAGTCTGGCAAGATTCTGCCTGTAAATTAACAACAGTACAGGGAACTACTCAGTAGTAATTGCATATGTTTTGCTTGGTTCTTTGGGTCTTACATTAAGGTGCTGGTTTCCAGAATAATAGGACCAGATTCTAAAGGCTAAAATCCTGTATAACAGCAACCTGGAGTGAGAAACCAAAATAAAACTCGATTTGGATGAACATAAGGAGTAGACAGGATTGTAGGAAGAAATAAGGGTAGAGATAGAAAGAGGTTGTGACAGGAGGACTCTGTAAATATAAGCACCAATGGTTTAAAGAGGATATCAGGAAGTTCGCAGTTGAAAATAATAAAAGAGACCCATTTAAACTTAAGCAAAAACATGTTTCCTTGTTTGTTTACAGTATGTATAATCTGCCCCTTTCTTGATGAATACTGGATAATGTGTAACTACAGAAAACAGTAAAAATCTTCAATAATTATGATGAGCACAATCCTTCAATCAACTGGGGAATATGTAAGATTGGGATTTTTTGTTCTCCTTTACTCCAGCCTACAGCGTTTTCTATTTTTCCTACAGTTCTTTTGTGATTGCTCTAGTTTTATCAGCCTCCTTTTTGTTTCTGAGTCAAATGTATGGTGCTTCTTAAGATCATCACGTTGTTTTGATCAGATAACAGGTCACTTGCAACTGATTCTGAATGTTGATGTCACTCCTATTCCCCAACTGAGAATGTTGGTAATTAGACTAAGCTTTTCCATCACATTCATCTGTGGAAAGGGGATTCATAACAAGGTAAAGGATTGGGATGTGATTTTCCATTTTTTAATAAGCACAATGACACCATCACACTTGGGAGAAGCAGCCACAAGAAAAGAGCCTATTTGAAATGCAGTCGAGTTATTAACACAGCAAGAATCGAAGCTGATTGATATAACTCCAAATGCTTGCAATTATCTTCCCTGACATCTACTTACTAACAAATTTTCATAATTATGTTACCAGCATTTGCAGAATGCATTGATCAGCCGTTAAGCTCTCTGAATGGGCTCATAAGAAAATGTGTAGTTTAGGGCAAGAAGCAGGCCCATTTCCATGACTTACAAAGCTGGTTTACTTCAATAGACATTTTAGGATCCGTATGTATTATATTTAACTGAAAATAGAAAAGAAAGGAGGATTATCTCCTCCGCCTTGCAGGAAGGGGTGGGGTGGGGGTAAGAGAACACATGCTCCACACAAGGCTTTTTCATAAAACATAAAGCAACATTTTTCATTGCGCACAGATGCAGTTAGAGTCTCTTTCCAGTAGAAACCCTGTCTCATATACAGCTAAGACTTTAAAAGGCAGAGCATATGCAACCAGCAACATGTGGTCAGGCATATGGATAAGTATTCCAGCATTGCAGAATGTCAAGCAATAATTGATTGATGCAACTTTTTTCCTTCTGTGCATTTTTCCTCCTGGAAATATTATTTCCTAACTCACAGAGCAACTTCCTCTTTTCACTGTCTCAAAACCAGATGTGCAATCTCCTCCAGGTAGTTTTTTTTTTCCAGATTTCCTCTTCTTCCAACCACTGTTTTCCCCTCGTTTCTTCATAAAGCAAATCTGTAATGCATCAAATCTCCACAAAGCACATCCGGTCAATTACCTTGGTGGGCATAACATGTGTATGACAACCTTCAACACCTCCTTACAGAATCTCACAAAACTGACATTTCATCTAGACATTTAAATTAAAGCCTCCTTGAAGGACGAGGGGGAAAGTATAGTCTACTTCTGTCAGAAATCAAGAAGGAGAAGCTCAGATCAAAAGAGACCCGTTGTTTATGAGCTGAAAATGTGCAAATTATAACAGCAGATTGCCTGAGAAAGATTGGAAACAAGGATTTGAGAAAATTGGACACTGCACAATATGTACTGGGCACCCAAACCAAGAGTTGTTATCATTATTATTGCTAAATTTATTGTTATTCGCTCCAAAAGACTGGCTGGTTGTATTATGGACTTGCTTGTTTTGTTTAGGTTGCTTGGCAATTGCTAAAGAGACCAGGAATTTCTTCTCCCAATACTTATATGGTACAATAAAGATGGTCAGTACAACCAAAAGGTTTGTTTATTCTTACGCATCTCTGACCCTTTCCCCACCCCATGTGCGGCCACATAAAGAAAGGAACGAAATAACAAGGGGATACTAGAGAGACACAAAGTTCTTAGAGAAGGTCCATTTTCTCAAGACAATGGAGAACTAATCCTCTGGTAGATAATGAAATACTGCTCTTGACAAAACATTTTACTTTATCCAATCCCATTTTAGTTAAGTGAGTGATTGTGTGGCCTTAAAGAGGTGACACAACACACAATTTAATTGTTTACAGCACAGCTGTTGCGTACATCAAGAATTCAATCCTATGCAATTTACCTTCACCATAAGGTGGCTTTTCTTCTGAAGAGGCAGATACAGGATTGCTTGCTAATATAAACCAATTCTGCATATGCTCTAATCTAAAGTGAATATGTGTGGAGATCCTATCAACTAGTTTTAAAGAGTGAAAAAGCAAGTTGGCTCTCTTCTTTCATGAAAAATGTAGGCACAAAACCCTACATTTCTTGTTACTGGGTCCAATAAATTGTGCTTGAGGATTTATATTGCTCTTCACTAGGTAGGTGTTCCTAGATGGCAGAATGTCATTGAAACCCAATATGAGAGGGCACTTGTTTCCACTTAATCAACTCAATATGAGGTGACTGTAAAAAGACCAATTCCAGCTTGCATTATTAGGAAAGGAATGAAAAGATTTTGTGCTGGTGGTGTTCTGTTCAAGAAAAACCTTAAGTATGTTAGTCTCATGGGCCCTGGATCAGGGCACTAGCCAGGAAGTTTAATACTGTATAGATAACACTAAAAAAGAACAATTAAAAGAGACAGGAAATAATTTTCTTTTATTATTTTTATTATTTGTACTTCCTGAATATTCACATATTGGAAGGGAAGGAACATTATGAAGAGTTTATGGTCCAGATACACCATCAATTCAAAAAATATACAGTAAAATCCAAACATTTCAAGCATTATACAATGAAAATGAAAGCCATATTGGTATAGCAATTAAAGGCACAGAGGTAGAAACTCTTGTGGCCATGAGTTCTAGCAGAGGTGGGTTGCTTCCGGTTCAGCCGAGCCGGTAGTGGCGGTGGTGGGAGGCTCTGCCCACCAGTCCGGATGTTTCTGCACATGCACAGAAGTGTTGCACGCACAAGCACGAGCGAACCAGTTGTAAACCGGTTAGCAACCCACCACTGAGTTTCTAGTCTTGCTTTTGGACAAAGACAACAAGATGGGGTATGTTTGCATTAGCAGAATTATTTCTGTTTCCTTAACATGTGTCCCAAAATATTATTATAAATCACTTGTTGAATTCAAGGGACAATTCAAATACTTCAGAAATCTTGATTCTTTTGACTGAGTAAATCTCCAGGAAAATGCCCCCACTTCATTGATTTCTTTGGATGTTTTCTTCTTTTGCAGGGATATACAAGGGACACTGTTTTCGAATCAACCATTTCCCTGAAGACAATGACTATGATCATGATAGCTCTGAATATCTTCTCCGTAAGTTTTTTTTTTTTAAAGCCAAAATCTATTTAAATAGGTATTGGTTCTTGGAAGAAGAGTTCTGTGTGATTTGTTTCTTTTTAGAAAAACAATCTGAATATAATGCTTGGATTTTCATGCATGAAAGTGATTACCATTGTATTAACACCCCCAGAAATTTTGAATCAATAATTTTGTCATTTTAATTAACAAGATTTCAATTTTACATTGTTGAAAATCCACTGGTATATCTGTACCAAAGACAAATAGCCCATAAAATATAAGCAGCTTGTGAAGGCTTTTGTACAACCCCAGAATCTCTACCTATTTGGCTGCCAAATTTCTGTGGCTGGGTCCATTTGTTCTGGTTTTGGCAGAATCTCCTATGAAGAACCATAAAAGAAGTAACCAGCGGTGCCTCAGTGTAACAGTCTGCAATGAGAGAGGGGATAATTATGGCTATTTAGCGCCACTGTGGTTTCCATTTGCTTCCTTTATTTTGCAATAGACTTTACACAGTTTGCTATCACGTTTCTGCTGCTGGATTCCACCATACATTTTAAGTTCCTAAATGTTTATATTCCAAGATCCTGAGAATAAAGTAACAGCCCTTGTTATTAAATGACTTCCCACTCATTAAAGAATTGCCCCACTTGTCAAAGATCCAAAGAATAGTTACCACAACCTTTTTCCAACTTTCTTCCATCCAAGTAATTTGTATGAAAGCAAGTTTTGGAAGCATCCAAAAGAGATTATTCCCAGGCATTGTGTGACAGGTAGATCCAACTTCAGTTTTCAAAGACAGGCTCTGAAGCTAAGAACTCATGGAAGCTGATTTAAAGAGAGGATATACCTTACTCAACAGAGGTAGAGAGGGTGATAAGTGAATTTGATCAACTGCTTTGAACAAACAAGTCATGACTGCATATATCTAAATCACACAGTATTTCTCACTGATCCAGGTCAGTTTGGGGCAAATCTGCAAAATCCCACCACCACTTATTCCCCAACATCAGTCTGTTTGTTCTTATCTTTGCTGCTTGTACACATCCCCCCCCACCAAGTAATAATCATTTATTGCTTCTGCTAGTTATTTATTTTTCATTTATATTCTGATTATCCCTCAAAAAGATATACATGACATCAATTTCATGTTATCTCAGTGAGCCTCCTTCCTGATTTATCCACATTTGCATGCTTCCATTTACTGTTTTCCTCTCCTATGTTACACCTAATTATTCTTCTCTGTGAGCTGTTTCTCAACCATGATGTACTGTATACTCCTTCTCCTGAATGTTTTCAGTCTCTGCTTAAAAGCCTCTCTCGTTAGTCAGCTGATTTTTCTAGCCAATCTGTCAGAAAAATTAGAAAATCCCCATTTTTTTCCTGCCTTGGGAAGAAGAGATAGGAATTGCAGGTGATAGCTAAACCTATCTTTTTAGCTTTCTCATATTGGAAGAGTTACAGCTACTTGAAAAGCTGCATAATGCTGCTGAAAACAATTATATTATAAAACAGTTAGAAATCAAGTTTATATAGAGCTTCTACTCTATAAATGGCAGAAGTGTAGGATTTGTCTTTTAACACTCACTGGTAATAATAAGATTCCAAATAACGACAGCTGGGATGCCAACTGCTAGCATTTCTGGGGCAGGAGGTTTTGGCAATGTGCTTTTCCCCTCGGTTGTAATGCATTCCACATGGGCCTGCCCTTGAAGACTATTTGGAAACCGTCATTGGCGCAGAAGTAGGTGCTTACATGCTGACTGGATCTACTAGCTATAGCCATATAACATTGGTACTGTGGGAGCTACATTGTCTTCCCAACTATTTTTTAGCACAGTGCTAGTAATAGTTTAGAAAGAGTTACAAGGCTTATAGTTTGGTTTTCTCCAAACTGTAGAGGGCATTGGGAATCATCTAGAACACGATTGCGTCACATGACTTATCACGACATTTTTTTTGCCTTTGCGGAGTTAGGGTGGGTGTGGCCTGCATGTGACACATCTGGCCTGTGGACCACCAGTCTGACAGGCCTGGTCTAGAAGGAGAACAGGAAGAGCTGCTACAAAGGCAACAATCAGATAAGTCGGTCTTGAACCCATTCCAAGAAATTAATTAGAGAGATCTAGGCCCTTCCCTAGTTTACGCACAGATAAGTGATGGAGGGCAACTTGCAAGATTCTGTTACTACAGATGTGACAATAAAAAGTATTCCTGGCCGATAGGGCATTAAGTTTCTTAGTTTGGTCTACCATAGAGGTTGACACAAACAGAATCTACCCACCCATCACAAGGCAAATCTGCAGGAGATAGTTGCTGTGTCTTTCCATGTCTTCTCACATTCAGCAGGCGGGAACTCATTTTCAGTTGCTCTAGTGCTAGAACTATATTCCTATTTGTGATTCTTAGAAAGTTATTAAAAATTGTCTTTCTGAAAGATCCTTTGGGATGTAAAATTAAGGAACATATTACCTGAGATGCATAATAGCAGTATCAGAATAGCTGTAATTTATTGAGTATTCTGATAGGTTGCTTTAAATTAGAGATATTATAAGTCATAGGATATTATTTTTGTACATATTATTTATTGGGGAGGTGTCTTTTATTTTTTTGTTTTAGGGTTTTTTTTTGCCATTAGCTGTGTAAGGAGAAAGTCTGATGTAGCATTAAAGCCATTTTAAATAAATAAAATAAAGCAACTTGACAAAAATTTAAATGTACAGGCAGTGACATGAAAATAATATATTCTGTCACAGTATTTAGAACAATAAGGAGCAAAGCTGCAAAGCATACGGTTCAGTAGTCAGTTCAGCTGTAGGCCACTGATCTAATACAGTAACTATAGAAGGGCTGACAGCAACATGCTGCCTTTATTTTCAAATTATCCAGCAGTTTTCAGGATTCAGGTTTAAGGAAAATGAGAGAATTCAAAATTGAAACAGAATCCCTTCTCACAGACAAATTAAAATAAACCTCTATGCCAGTAAAGAAAGCATGAATAAGAAATGGTTTTGATATGTTCAACTAGCTCTTTTGATATGTCCTATGTCAAATTATTTAGCAGGAATCCTCACACTAAAACATACCCGTTAGACAATGATAGGATAATTGGTTCTCATTTTTAAGCTCAGACAAATTAGAAGTTTGTTTCCTCAGTAAAAAAGAAGAAAAGTTTAAATAATTAAATGTTCTGGTATTATTCTTTGTGAAAAGACCAGAGTGGATTAGTTTCTTCATTTTTTAAGATGTAAAGACTTGAATTCCAAGATTTAATTAGTCTTGCATGAGATTAAAAAAATGTCAGCTTAGTCTCTTTGGTGAATACTTTTTTTAATTCTCTGAAAGTTCAAAAATACTTACATATTAACTGAACAACCTTCCTCTGCTTAGTTCCTATCCAGGGTTATGGCTGCAAAACTCACAAAACTTTCAGTTAGCGTGGCAGGTGGGTAAAAGTTATGGAAATTAGTGTCCCAGTTGTAGCAGCATATAAATTTAATAATGAAATATCTAGAGATTGCCTAGTTGATATTATGTTGTTCTAGGGAATAATACCAAGGAATTATGATAAACATGACTCCATTTAACCTAAGAAGACTCTCCTGAATGGCTGAAATAGACAACAATGGTAATAAAGCCTTTAGTTACTTTAGTCTTTCCCCCCCTCTCCTTAAACATTAAACAATCAATATTATTGGAGTTTATAATTCTTATAATGCCCATACACAGTTGGTTCTTAGTGCCAGTCACCCCACAATTATTTTGAAAAGGAGACTTTAGTTCCTTCTTTCCTTTTGTCCATTATTTCTCTCTCATTCTTTTACTTAATGATGTTTCTATAAAAAAAAAAGCCAGGTAATAATATTATGATACACACAACTATGTGAGATCACGGCTGCCAGAAGCTAAAGTGCTCTGGGATTTTAGAATTCAGACAAATAAGTACCTGCCATATAACACCCCAGATTTGACAATTGTAGATAAGAAAGACAAAAAAAAGTCTGGCTAATGGATCTGATAGTACCTGAAGACAGCAGAATAGTAGTGAAAGAACTGGAGAAAAATCACAAATTACAACGACCTGCAAATGGAAATACAATGACTAGTGGCAAAATAAAGCAAAAGTAGTACCAATAGTAATAGGCACCTTGGCTGCAATCCCAAAACAACGAGAGCACCATTTGAACAACACTGGCACTGACAAATTCATCATCAGTCAATTGCAAAAGACAGCTATATTCTGAACAGCGACAATATCTCTAACACTATCAAACATCAATATTTACATATCCCAGGTCCTTGGAAATAACTCGGTATGTAGATAAAAATGCCAAATCCAGTCTGAACATCTGGCTGCCTCTGCAACGATTCATAATAATCAATTGTGGATAAGCGATATGGCAATACGAGGAGATAGTAGAATACAAGACGAAGAATTGGAGAAGATCACAGAGTATCAAGATCTGAAAATTGAAATTGAAAACTGCCTCAATGGACATTAGCACATTAGGTGCCGTACCAAAAAATCTTGGATGGCACTTAGAAAATGTGTGCATTGACAAAAGTTCTGTCTATCAATTACAAATGGCCATCCTACTTAGATCCAGACATACAATATACTATGTTGATAAATTATAATACCCTAGGTCAGGGGTCGGCAACCTTAACACTCAAAGAGCGGCATAGGTCCCAACTGGAACCCCCCCCCCCCCCCGTTCAGT